TGGGGGTATAGAGAACTCTTTCTTATTATCATTCATCTTATTCATCTGCTCCCTCTGCTATATATACGGTTCAGTCCAGCTATCGGGGCCAGATCATTATCTTTAGTTTTCCATGTTTTCTGTGTCGTTTAGTTTTGTATAGTCCTCAGTTAGTTTCCTGACTCTTGGGAGCCTTCCCACCTTCTGACTCACCTTAAATACTGCGTCTTGCTGTCCCCATTTTATGACATATCATTAATGACACCAGTGTTACTTCTTTCATTTCTTCCTCAGGTATCCATGTTTTACAGATGATCTTTTCATGTGAGAAGGATGATGAGACTCAGGAAGTTAATGCAGTTCACATGTATGGTTACGATGGAGAAGACCTTATGGCACTGGATTTGGAGGCTGAGACATGGATCACGCCAATATCACAAGCAATCCCAATTAAAACACTGTTGGGCACTGAAAAAGCCAATATTTTGTTTAACAAGAATATTCTTACCAATGAATGCCCTGATTGGATGGAGAGATTATTGAATGGAGGGAAGAATATTCTGCTGAGAACAAGTATGTACATTACATTATCCGGTTACTGTGGTGTTATTTGAAAACCAAACCTATGTGAGATAAGATCCTCAGAACCCTAAAAAACATGTCATTGTAAGGTAGAAGGTGATTTTATGACTGCTCTTTATATCTACAGTCCTCCCATTTCTTTACCACAGAATACTGTTATTGTTATTAATATGGATAAACCTTTTAAATGGATGACTCAGGGCTCTTTTCACAAGAGGATAATAGATAATAGACACAGGAACATAATAAGGCACTAATGGAATGCTGCTACTCCAGTAACTGTGGCCTGATACTGGTCTATGCCTCTAAAAATTTAATCAGGTATTGCAGGCTAACAAAGACCTTAAGGACTCCCCATTCCTTAGGGGTGGACCCGTTCTTCTGGTTTAATTTGCATGTCACTCTATAAAGCTTGGAACCCAATGACTATTCTGACATTTTGAATTGAAAAGGGTTCCTGAAGGGAGGCAAAACGTCTTTAAACTTGGAAAACAAAGTCCAATGGATTGTTATTTAACTTTTTTGGAATGACTATGACTGACTAACTGACCTATGAAATAAAATCATGGCTCAGATGAGAACCTCTCAACCCTAGCAATGGCTAGCAAGGTTAAGTAAGGTACTACTGCAACCATCACATAATCTAATGAGCTGATACAAAGCCTAGCATTATAAATCCTTGAGTTGCCTGCCAAAGGTTAAGTCAAGAATGCTCAAAGAGAACAGTGTCCACTATAGCAGAGAAGGCTAGAAGCCAAAATCAAGGCAACACAGAAAGAGGTAAGCAAACTCTCAGAACTCCAGAGGGCATCATCTGGTAAAAGAATGCTGGAGAAATTCCAAACAAAGACCTCAAGCCTTGGGTTCCCGTCTGAACAGGTACACAAAGGGATGGAAGCCAAACAAATAAACTGACTGTTCTATATACAACGCGTATCCAAACACATGCGTATCTAAAAATTACAAGTCCGTCAACGGTCCGTTTGCTTCCTCGGGGTTGGAGGTAACTGGCAGCATTCCCTCCGAAACAGGTCCGATGTGCAGACGCCTACTGTGCATGGCCCTGTACTTCGGCATCGCTTCTAACCGGGACTGCAGCTTAACACAGCGCTATGACAA